TTTTTTTTTGTTTTTTTGTTTTTTTAATAATTCAGTGGAATTACTAGACCTTATCGTTACTTAGAATAGTTTTGCATAGTCTTGCTGCTGGCAGTGCAAGGCTCTTTCTTGTTATGTTTTCACTGAAGGCTCTTTGCTGAGAAGGTATCTAACTTTGATAATTGAGCAAATCCCTGATCTAGCATGACCCTGCACCTTTGAGAGCTTTGTATGCTGCTGACAGGTTTTTTGGCTCAGGGTTTGTGACCAACCATCCTAAATTGTACCAGATTAAACAACAGCTGCTGTTTTAAGCAGTAGCGCCATTCTTTATTATTGACCGTTTTGCAATTTCCACGTTTTGGTCTAGGTGGTGCCATCAGTGACACTAAGAGGGATGAATTCAGTGTGCGTCACAACATCTTGAAACAATTCAAGACTGATGCAGCCAAAGAAGAGTTGTAGAACCCTTAACAATTTAAGTGGTGTGACAGCCATGTGTGACGATTTGAGCACCTCATTCTTTAGTTTGTTTTGCCTTTTTTTTTTAATAATTACTTCCCAACATATCTTTTCTTCTACAAAAAAAGCCTCATTGTTACAAACGTTCTTAGTGTTTCTCTATCCCAGTGGTGCTTACAAGACTAAGATTATTGCCATTTTGCTGCCAAGACTATCTATTTCAGTGAGGAAAACCCAGAAGACTACAGTCATTGAGAGAACGGAAGTAGTGTTCTAGCAAGATGATCCACAGCAAAGTTATAGTTATGTACCATCACTCTGATTTATCCTGTGTGACACCATAGGCCAACTGGGCTGCATTCTTCAGCACTTTTTAGGAAAAATAAATTCACAGAGACTTCAGGTGGTTTTGAATGACTGTTCACTAACTACCCTAACACATAATCCCTTCAAACGTAATTTCAGTTTATTCATTTTGCCTGTGAGAGGGGTATTTAATTCAGCAATAGCCTTATGCGTGATGGCATCAGACAAGCACATTTCACCACCAAGCCTCACTTTAAAATTCGAATTGCAACTTTTATTTTATCTTGGACAAAATTCCCAAAGCAGCAAAGATGAAAAGGATACCCTCATGAAAACATGCAACACAAAGGCGCCGGACATTTGAAAGAATTTCTCGTAAATGGGGCTTCTCAGTAAATTTTGAGCATGTGATGTAATCATGCGCAAGACTTATTGAAATATAGCAGTTTTTATGGCCTCATGTGCAGACAATGTTTGGGCTTGTAGGTTTTTATAAGCTATTATCAACACTACCATGGCAGTTGTGATACTATCTTTTTTATTTACAAACATTGCCATCTTTTTAGTGATCTATCAATATACATGTGTATACACATCTATCACCATTTACAATTTTGCTTGTTTTACTTTCCCAAAATATTGTATTTGTATCCAAAATTTTCCATGTCTGTGACAATTGAAACTGCACAGCACTTTCATTTGTATGGCAGAAGTTCCACTCTGGTGCTGAATTAGTATTTGTAAGGTGAAAGGGAAACTACTGGCGATTTTTAAGAGCAGTGGGTGGACCAGCTGTTGAGAAAAGCTTGAAGAGCTGTTTATACCACATAAAGGCTTCACCGCCAGTGCATTGCTGCAACGCTGCAGAAAACAAAACAATAGAGTCAACCAATTGAAATGCAGCTTAGATACTTTGATTGCCTGTGAACAGGCTCTCTAGTTGAGGATAGGGTGAGGAGAAACTGGGAAGAAAGAGTAGAAATTAGTGTAGAGAAGAAAGAGTAGGGGAGAGAGAGGGGGGGAAGATGTCCCAATCCCAACCACATTTCTCACCCAGTTCCTTCTCGGTCCTTCCAGTTCCAGAGGGAGCCTGTTGGCAGGCTAATACTTTGACCAAGTTCACAGCATTTTAAATTGAGTACAAAATTGTCTTGAGTCAATCATATTCTTGGTAATGAGTGAGAAGGAGAAGGGGGAACATAATTTACATAAAATCGTATAATACTGGGGGTTCAGACACCATGTATGTATTTGTCAAACAAGAGAAACAAAGGTGCAACTCTAAAGGTTCATTAGTTACATTTTTTGCTACTATGAATTCATGAAAATTGTTGTTATTAGCAGATTACCTGATATTTAAATAATAGGGGTGGAGAAATGAGAAATTTAAGCTAATGTGTTGCAGAAAGAGTCTCTCCCTATTACCTTCTACAAAATCTTACCTGGCTCTTGGATGTGCGTCGCGATAACGACTACTGTAGAACAAAAAGGGAAAACAAAGACATGAAATTGAATCAGCATTTGTGCCATGAATGTTTCTACTAATAATTTTGTTAACATTATACCGGCCTGAAAGGCTAATTTAATCAACTCCTTATCAGTAATACTTCTTGTTTAGCTTCACTATTGATGGTTTTGCATTGAATGCAAGAGTTTAAAATACAGAGCAGTTTGGTTGGTAGAACTACTGATAGATATCTACCACCATCTCAGTGGTTTAATATGCTAGTTGGAAACCAAGAATTCTACGAAGTAGCATTCATGTGAAAACCTTGCTCTTCCACAACCAACAGGGTGAAACATGACAACATTGCACAGCATAACTATTAACTGATGAACCCCACCCAAGAAACCTGTCACGTGACTTTGTGTAACTTACTAGATTGTTGCAGGAACAGGACGTTGCCCTCTCAGATCTATATAAGGTTCTTGCCTCAGGGAGTACTGTAAAGAGAAAGAGAGATCTAAGACCTGTTGTTCTTTACATGACGTCACTTACTATATAGAACAGTATTTCTGCTATTCAACAAACTGTAAAAGCAGAAACCCAAATGAGGGATTTGTCTATTGTCAAGCAATCTCACCGTAAGAAGAAAAGTTGTTAAGAATGTCTGTGTCGGAAGCTTTAAATCAAAGTTTGCTTCTGATAACCTGCAGTTTACATTGATATGCAATGCTTTTTTCAAAGAAATGTGATTAATTCACTCACCCTCCATGAACCAGTCTCTCTCGGTGACAGATACCTTGTAGCATACCCATTAAACTTGATTTGGTCAGCTGAATACTTAAGGTACGGTTCAGGCATAAACGTGTACGGCTCTGACGGTTCTCGAGAAACAATGGTTTAGCCAGTGATTAATGTTAGACTTAGTGCAACGTGTTTGTTTACGGTTAACAGAGAAAACAAGGAGAAGAGGGTATGGCTCTCTCTTTTTAGCCTCTAGGAAGTGGTGTGGTGCTTTCTTTTTAGCCCCTGGGAAGGGGTATAGTTCTTTCTTTTTAGCCCCTAGGAAGGGGTATGGCTCTTTCTTTTAAACCCCTTGGAAGGGGTATGGCTTTTTTGTTAGCCCCTAGGAAAGGAGTATGGCTCTTTCTTTATAACCCCTAGGAAGGGGTATGGCTCTTTCTTTATAACCCCTAGGAAGGGGTGTGGCTCTTTCTTTTTAGCCCCTAGGAAAGGGTATGCCTCTTTCTATATAGCCCCTTAGGAAGGGGTATGGCAGTTTCTTTTTAGCCCTTGGGAAAGGGTGTGGGAGGGGGTCAGAGATTTGTGCTTCTCACATTTCTCTTAGTTTCAGTAATATTAAGTAATTAATTAGTTAATTACTCATTTGGTTCTGTCTGTTTCTCCCGTATCCTGTTTTCCAAGAAATTCCGCTACCTGTTTTTATTTTGCCTCCTGGAGCCCTCTCGAGGGTCTGTACGGGTTAAAACTGATAGCTAAGTATTGGCATGAGCCATAATCGGGAACGGAGACCGTAAGCCCGCGCCATTTCAAGTATTGGGGTTGTCCCCATGATATGGGACAATAATTCTATTTTTAGAACAAATTGCGCCATCACCTGCGGCACACGCGCGTACATGNCCCGACATGTGCGTGAATCCGCGCGGATATATGACGTCAGGATGGCGCAATTTGTTCTAAAAATAGAAAAATTGTCCCATATCATAGGTGCGCGCAAATCCCGAGACTTACGGTCTCCGTCCCCGATTATGGCTCCTGGTATTGGTCAACGTTGCAACTATCAGCCGAAAAATGATGCGCTTTTTGACTGGTAGCTGAGATCAGAGATCTACAAAATTTACGTACGGCTGAAAAGTGGACTGAAATGTTCACTGGTAGCGGAGAAATTGCCGAACATTTTATTTGGAATTGAGATTCAAGCAGCGCCATACAGGCCCTCCTTCCCAAATTCTTCAGTTTCGCGCTCACGCCTCACTTCACTCGCCGAATTTTTTTCCGTCCTCGCCGGGAGCCTGTTCTCAGGGTAGCCCTCGTTTCTCACTGTCTGTCCCCTTCACCCCAATAAGGTTACTACTTTCTTGCGCTTTCCCTGTCCAGATGGCGTATCGTTTTTCCTCAGTAGTTGCTGCGCCAGACATTAACGCGAGCCAAATTTCCTCGAGTTCTTTTAATTTTCGCTAGTAGTTCTGGACTGGTTTCATTGAAAGGTTGTGTAGTGACACTAAAACTAAACTTACCATTTGGAGGAAGAGGGGAGGGTTGCTTCTGAGACTGTGACGTCATAGATCGCTTTAAAAATTCCGCCATTCCACTGTGGATAGACATCGAGAGAAAGGTTTTAAGTAATTAATATTTTTTTCCTTCACAGCAAAGACACGAGAAGAGTTCAGAATTTAAAACTCTTATTAATTAGAATACAGAAAAAGCAACTATTTTTTTCGTTCAGTTTACATGCCGTCGATAGAAAAAGTGAACCTTTTCAAACAACTACGATCTTGGTCAGAATAAAATAAGAAATAAAACCACCCTCCCCCCTCCCCCCTCCCCCCTATTTGATACACCATCTCATATCCAACACGCGCTAGCGTGGAATAATTGTTAATTATAACTTCAAGTTGATAAACTTCGGTGTCCTTTCACGGAACGTTTTGTTTGGTTTGTTTGTTGTTGTTGATGTTGCTTTTTTTCGTGTTCTCGATGAAATAAAGTGAGATCACTTCTAAGCTATGAGCCAATCGAAACTAAAAAAACTCGACGACATCGCAATTTTCAATGAATCGCCTCCTACCTTTTTGAAAAGTCAAAGAAACTCGCTGTAAAGTGAAAATAAAAAACAGAGAAAATATTTTCAAACGAGAGTATCGCCGTTTTATTGTACGAAGCAGTTTAATCGAAAACTTGCCCGCTATGTTGTTCGTCTGAGAGCCGATCTATATACACCCTGTAGTTTGGATCAGTTTGGTTTGATTTGTAAAGTGCCGCATACTGTCTTTGTACTAATCTGGTAAGCTACGTGTTTTGTTCTGGGAGATCAAGCATTATGCGCAATTTTTACTGTCAACAGAACCACCGGTAATTGTAAACAAACTTGTTAAACCTTCAAAGCGTTTCGCGAAAAAGATGAGAATGAAAGAAGACACTGCGATTTATTTAAAATATGAACACGTCGAGCTTCTTGTTGGAAATTTTTGTAAGCACTCTGATTACTTGCAAAGGTTGCCGCGCGCCTTGCACAATAGTCAACAAAACTTTTGCAAGGATATCATAATTAATGATTTTACTTTCGCTGCGATGCCAACCACAAGTAGACGGTTTTACTTCAAAATTGTCTTCCTTGCACTGCAAAATGACCCAAAATGCGCGCTCCGCGCAATCTCCGTGCGCAAGCCTGATTGTTAGCCCCGGCGCCAGAAATTTATAGGCTTACCCAGATTCGATGGGTTGGTAGGACGTGGACTGGAGTTGTCTCCCCGTTTCTGTTATTCGCTGAAAAGAAAGCAAACATTCACTTATTAAGATTTAAGCAGATTTAATAAAGTTCTTAATTAAACTACAACACTGGAACAGCTTATTAGAATACTCTGCAGTTTTATACCGAGTAATATCCGTGATATCGACTTACCGTGCCTGACAACGGTTTATCAGCTGGTCGGAACAACGTGATAGTGCTGCTTCTAAAATCGTCTGAAAAAAAAAGTAAGAATGATTCATCTTTTTCTCGACAAAGAAGCTTGTCTGCCATGCCATGTCTCAGTCAGAGTACCCTTTGTTAATGGCGTTGTGGTACGCGAGTGTTCTTCAGGTAATTTATGCCCTGCCGTATCCATGTCCATTCGCCGGAATGTTGGTAGCATCGGGTGGTAAAGCCCTTCTTTTACCGAAGCCAGCATGTTAGATCGGTCCCTGAAGCGTGGGTGCAATCTCGTTTGAATCGCGGTCGACATGGAGTTTCAAAACGCGTACAGCGCGAAAACTCGGTGTCAAGAAATTTGCCAAATTACCAAAGATTGGTGATCGTGGAGTTTATAAATAAAGAAGCTTTCCCTTTTGTTCGCAACCGACCTCGGGCCGGCTTGTGTTGACTGTACCCACTTCACACAAGGTGAAACTTTATTTAATGGCTTATGGATTTAGACCAATCAGTGACGCGCAAGGCTTTTGTGACGTAATCCGTCTGTGACATAATTCGGAGCTTTTGTTAATCAGAGTCTATTAGCGGTCACTTTTCACCGCATATCGAATTAACGTAGCATAGAACTCACTTCAAAGAATTCAGCGTGTTGTTAAAAAAAGAAGCCCACATGAAGTGGTCACGTACTTTGCTCTTTGAAGCTTACAGCATGTTATGTAAGTTTTAATACTTTTTGGAGAAAGCAACATCCCAAAGTTAATTATCAATCTCGAGGGAATCGTACTTTAAAGTGACCACATACCGAGTTAATTAGCTGTTGTGTGAAAACACTGCGTTATCGGGCAACAAAAGTCGCTTACCAAAGCAAATTTGCATCAAGGTATCAAACTTTTGGGGTTTAGTTTGCTGTGGCGAGCTTCAGTATGGTTAAAAAAATTCACCTTTGTCGGTCTTAATTCTTCCTTCGTAGGCTAGTACGCAAAGCGCAAATTTGTGTCGGCTTTAGTTATCTTTCTGCGAAGATATTCAACGTTTAGATCTAATTTAAATGCAGCTTTTTGTATTGTAAGCTGGTATTTTACTCGTCTTGTTGAAAACTGTTAAGTGCCTTTTGGTGTTGAACGAGTGACTCTGGCAAATTTAGGTATCCCGAGAATAGATACATGTATACTTATCTATCATCAAAATACTTAAGTTTCTTCATAAGAATTCAAGCGAATGAAAGGCCACCAATTTTGCATGCAACAAAAACGCTTAAAGTTATTGTATTGTCTAGTCATCTTCGAGAGGTCAAGAATGTCAATCTCTATTCTCCAAGTAAAGGATTATTTATGCGAGAAATCATGCTACGAAGCTAACTTAACTGGGCTCTTTTGTGAAGCTGCAGGTTTGACAAGCAAACAGCTTGCAATTAGTAGCTTTAGACTAGTTTTCGATAACGGAATTTGAAAAAAAAAAAAAAAAAAAAGAAAGCGTTTGTTGCCCTAAAGCAAAAATGCGTGTAAATGATATTTATGATGACAAAATTCATCCCTTTAGTCGAGCAGCCGTTGCCAAAAGTAACAATAGGCGGAATGCTAAAGCAATAAAGCAAAGCCCCGGCTAAACGATTGAAAGAATTATTGAATCGTTCATCGTGTTGATAAACATGTCTGATCGTTTCGTCGCTCCTCCAAGTTCAAATATTTTCACCCACGATTTTCCGCGTAGAACAATGTTTGAACTTTTAGCCGATTTGTCGTTTATCCGAGTAAATCGCGCGCGACGACAATGCCGCGAAATGAGCTCCGCGCGCGCGCCTTGTTGCTATGGACTTTTGTGTTGTCATTTTCCGTCATGTGGAGATCTGGGTTTTAAAATCAGAGATAAAATTCTGAGCTGAGCAAGTTTATAATTTCGATAAATTCAAGACTGTTTGATCATGATAAGCTATAATAAAAACGTGAGGGCACCATGAGGAACTTTCATGTCTGATTCCAAAGCTACTTGAATTTCCACCAAGTGAATAGACTCTATACACAACCTAAACAATTACCGTATTCAAGGCTATGTATCTTAGAAGTTCCAAATAATATTATTTACTTTGGTTTGTTATTTTTGATAGGGAACCAAACAGTTGTTAAACTGTGGCAGTGCTAATTAAGCATGTTATAGATGCATGGCGTGTTTTTGGTTGTGTTAGGACAAAAGATAGGTTTTATATCAAAGTTGAAAGTAAATCCTAACGGCTTATGGACAGAAATACGTGTAGGCGTTTTATCAAGTTCGTATGAAGGTAGAAAAATTCAGGAGTGAAAAATTATCAGAAATATTCCGTAAACTGGCAACACTTAATTTTAACTTAACGCTATCAAGTTATACTGTGCTAGTACGTCTAATCGATTTGATATCTCAACTGCAAAGGTAATAACTATTTTCCATATTCACCAGCTGATCTCGAGGTAGAGTTCCTGCAATGTTCAATCGGCATTTTACACAGTGCGTTGTCGCGATCCATCTTACGATAAGTCGGCGGCTTCGGATGAATCATGGCTTCCTTCACTGCAGCCAGCATCCGCCGCGGAGGCGAGTAGCCGTAGTCTGTGCCGTGCGGTCTGACAGCGTCGTGTTGACTAAACCTGATCCCTTGGCGATCGTAATAGCGACTGCTCAACGCGAGTTGAAGATGACGCGACATTTTACGGCCTTAACTCTCGTCTTTTCGATCGCCTGCTTCACTAGAACCGTGTCCAGGTTATTAACAATGTAACTAAATGCGTTTGTATGAACCACTTTTGTTTTTTGTTCAATGAGATATCATACCGCGTGACTACGAGGAGAACTGGCACTAGTGAACTAGCGAAAAAACGTTGATAGCTAGGAACTTTTGTCAAACCTCGTTATAAGTAATCCTTATTTATCGTCACAATTTTTCTACATAAAACAATTTTGCTTACATCTAATGATCGAAGGGACATAAAGTCTAGTATTTTTAGGATTGACCATTGTAACTTATGCAATTGAGATCTTCGATATCTTTTGGACTGCATCAAAACAAAGATTCAATTAAATACTATCTTGGGCAAATAATGAAAACTGGCCATGGGGACGAATAATATCTCGCTTGTGTAGTCAGTGTTGTGAGCTCGATTTTACCATTATCACCCTAATGTTGAAATGGTAGGAGTAACAAGTATAATTACTTGGTTGTCAAGGAAACAAAGCACTCTATCATGGATACACTACAAATGTGCGAGCTAAAAGAAGTTGTCAGCCACTCATAATCACCTTTGCTACATGGCGTCGAATGGCGAGAGTGCTCATCCGTTAGCTTCCTCAGTACTTCATCCATATCCATTCGTCTTAAAGTTGGAAGACACGGATTATACAAAACTTCCTTCACCGCCGTAAGCCTGCGCTTGGGACCCAGAATCAAAGAAGTACTCGGTTTTTGTGAAGGCATCCCTAGCCCTTCCCTTGTGTATACATCCGATGTCTTTCGCCCCACCGTACAAGGTTGAGCCCAGAGCGTGTGATATGTTGTAGCCATTGCGTTGAAGGAGTTTTCTTGGCGTGACAGCGGCAGCAAATTCGACTGCTTGTGTTGCTTTGCAAGCTGAAATGAGCTCGAAAGAGAGCTTAACAGCTGTGTTTAAACACTTGTTAATAATATATGAGAGTACGTCGGTTGTTTTCCTTAAACAGTTTCTCAAGCCAATAGCAACTGATGTTTTTATTTTGTGATAAAGAATTGAAAAAGAGTTCAATGGCGATTAACCGGTTCGTCTTCAGAGCTGAAAATTTGAATGCCTGAGGTTTTCGTGATAAGTTGGTCGATCTTCAGAGCAAAAACAAACAATGTAAACAAATAAAAACATAAAGATGTGTCTGAGATTCTATTTTCTGTCATTGTAGAAATGACACTTTCGTTGACATAATTAATCTATAAATATAGGTTTATAAATAGCGAAATAATATATACAGTGATTAATAATGCCGAATTAGAAGTACTTTTGCGAGTTCCGCAACAAAATGTTGAAATTTATTAATTAAACAGTAGCTGCGGTCACGTGACTCCCGTATACCCTGGGAAATTAAGTACCTTTCCTCAAACAAACTGAAATATTTTGTGCGAGATCGTGTCTGACTGTGAGAACAGGTTTTGTTTTCTTTCGCGCGCCATCTGGAAAACTGCCTGTCAATCGAATAATGCAATTAGTCCCCGGTTGTTGGCCGGGAATTGCAGACCTGAGCCCACAGTCTTACAACGCCATGCTGGCACAAGGCTGTTTACAGAATGGCTAGACGAATGCATATGCATGAGTGGTCGTGCCAGTCTTGTGATTGGATAAAAAAGAATTTGGAATCTCTTAGATTGCAAAAACAGCACTTGCTGCCCAGGAGAGAAAGCGATGGGACAAGACCCACCTCACAGCATGTTAATGAAGAGACTCAAATCGTGAATGGACGTTTCCACACACTTGGCACTGGTCGCACGAATCACAACATAGTTCTCAGCCGTGTTTTTGATCAAGGAAGTCGATTTCCGCGAGTGACTGGAAATAAATACCACATCAACTCAAGGGATCGTTCACGAGGAAACCAGCCTCGCAGTTTAGATCCGACTGGGAACCAGTTCATTAATTGTCAAAACCTGCATGTCCATCTAAACATTAGTTAAACGAACAATCGATATCACTCAAGGCAAAAGGGTGTAATTATTAGGCACGAGATCTAGGAGCGCGTGCACGGGCCTTACATGCATTTCTCACAGTTCGCGGTCGCTAACTACGCCTATTTCATTTCCGTTTGGGTTGAAAGACATGTGTTGAAGCAATACCCTTCTTACATTTTTGTGCGGTGCAATTGGAATTTGTGAACCGCTTTTAGCCTGCACTGCACGCGTTTCTTGGAAAATCGAGTCAGGACTGTCGACTCGCACCAATCCTCTCTCCTCTGAGACTTGCTGAATGCTCGCCGCTCAATCGGGAGTTCAAGAAACCAGGGCTCGACGCCAAGGACGTCGATTAAAAAAATGATTTTATAGTTTACCTGAGAATCTCGCGATACTCTTAAGTCATTTTCCTTTGTTTCTTAGTGTCAAAACTATCACGAAACTGTATCTGGGACAGGGCGAAACATTTGAAATAAATATAAAAAATAAAAATAGCCGTCGTGGTTCATGTTCTCTGGACAACGCAGAATTTGGTCATTTCACGTTGTTGTTTTGCACAGGACGGAGAAGAAATGTACCAAGAATTACAACGCACGTGCACAGCCATTGTTCTGCTCATTAAACCTTTTGTTTAGCGACGTTCCCGTTGCCGTTGCCGTCGTGGTTTTCTTAAACTCCCTTTTATTAACGTGGCAAACGAGATAACGTCATAAAACGCATACAAAGGTACCATTTTACTTAGATACTTTATTTATTTTTTTATTTTTTTATTTTTACTACACACCTCGTTCTAACGAGCAGAAGTTCAACCCCTTAAATCATTAAAAAGCCTACCTCTTGAATATAAAGAGCTTACTGTTTTTTTCTTTTTGCGAGGTCCTAAAATGTCATTTGTACTTAACATAATATACAAGTTAATACATTTTAAAGTTTCGTTACTACAATTTGCCTACTATAGGTCATGGTCTCCTGTTAATTTTAATTAGTTAAAGTTATGGCTGAGTTACACTTGTAATTTTTGTTCTATTATACAATGCTTTAAAAATATTAAGTGCGATTACAAGGTTATAATCTCGTTAATAGTTGAATAAACGATGGTGCGGTTCTCCGGCGATTTCGAGAAGTTATTGTGTTTGCTGTTTTTGCGATAGCTAAGCTTAGTGATTGGTTAACGACAAAATAAGCCGTAACCAAACAGAGCAATCACAAGTAAAACCCAACGCGACTTTCCCGCGCTTTTCACCGGCAGCCGTTTCGCCACTTCAAGCTCTGATTGGCTTGTGGTGTTTTTCGTGGCCGGCGCCCCGCGACATTTCCCGCGCTTTTCATTGAACGTCATTCAAGTCTTATTGGTTCATAAGGCTCTCATCCGCAGTGTGAAAGTCAACAGAAATCTCTTCAGCTTTGCTCAATTCAACACTGACAAAAAATATCGACTAAAATAAGAGAGCTTTAGCTTATAACCAATGCAATGAAATAATACTACACTTTTAAAACCATCACCAAAATCAAGTTAAGAGCTATACGGTTAAGAACGTTCATTCAAAATGTCTCAACCGTTAAATAGGTGTTGCACAACGTCATAATCAGGATGCTGTTGTCCTTGTGGCCACTCTCTTCGTCCGTATTGGTCCTCACGTTCTCTGGACCTCGGGGGTCCCCGGGGAGAGCCGCTGTTAGCGCCAGATCCTTGCATTCCATACTGCACGAGCTCGTGACCTGGTAAAGAAAACATGATTTACACTGTCACTTAAAGACGTGATTGATCATCGCAGTTATGCACACAACTTAAGTGATTGTGAAATTAAAGCCTATTGAAATTAAATAACTATCGTTATGAATGAAAGTTAAGGCCCCTTTGTTACACCTAGTCACAAAAGAGATACGCACAGGTACAAAATCAATGAAAGCTAACCATCCTCAAGCCAACATGTTCAGGTTCTGAAATAATTTTATAGTAACTTGTAAATATAAGAAAACTGAAAACTCGTGCTGGTGGCAGAAACTGAAGGAAATGAATAATCAAATATCACTTTCAGTTGCCCTTTGCCTACTTTTTCAGAGTAAGTTTCATGATTTATTTCATCTAAATCTCAAAAAGATAATTAACACACCATATTCGTATTCTCGGTATTGGCCTGAAATAGCTTGTAACTGAGACTAATGCGGGGGAGTCTTCTCAAATCAAAATGGAATTTATCTCTTTTTAATGATTTTCCCCCGCACAAGCCTCCATTTCAAGCTAGTTCCAGTTCAATACAGAGAATATGAATATGGTCCACTGGTCATTTGATAAATGAGTGAAGATTGCTCATGTCTGGTACCTTGTGATGGACTGTGGCCAACGCCTGGAAGAGGACTTGCTGCAGCCCGGTCAGCTAAAAGATCCAGGGGATCCTAACAATCAGAAAACAAAATTATTTTAAACATAAAAAGTGTGTTAAATGTGCAAAGCAATTAACTTGTGCCTTCTGTTCTTTATGTCCCTACCTCATGTTCTTAAACATTCCTTTGCTTAAAATATTCAACAGTGTGCTTGTGATCATAATTACTTATCAAAATTTTTTTTTTATTAGGAATAATTTGTGTGTTCTGCGACTGGTCAGTTTGAGTTCATTAAAGTGCCATAAGGCACGCTCCCAAGATCATGTGATTTTTGAGTTTAAATGCACACAGCCTCTGTCTCTGTGAGTGCACACAAGATCAATATCTTTGAGTGCTATAAGTAACATAGGAATTTTTTAGACCTAGGAAAAATGTGAGAGGAACTCAGCTACATGTACCTCTGTGCCTTACTATGCACTTCTCTGATGCTCTTAAACATTTCTGTCTGTTTATAATGACATGTATAGTATATAACTCAACTAAAAACTCCATATTTTTACCTGGCCTGGAGGGACCCCTTCATGGCCAAATACATCATAGAATAAGCTATTATCCAACACCATAGAGTGATTTGCCAGTTGAAACTGGATGTTGTCAAGGTTCTGTGAAATGTAGTCCACCTGATCACCAATGTAATTCCTGAAATGATCGAAAAGAAAACACAATCAGGAAAGAATGGATTTTCTGTGGCTGACAAGTGAAATTAAGGCTTTTAAACTCTTCACTTTTCAGCTGCAAAGTGATAGACATGTAATTATACCTTCTTACAAAATCAGTACATTGTCAACTAGAAAGGTATGGTATTTCATTCAAGAAATATTTTTCAGATTTTATTTTTGCAACTACCTTGGTTGCATATATAACTGCGATGAAGCTTACTACATCATCATCCAAAAGTATTTTTAATTATATTAAAATTCATGCATGAAAGTTATATTAATTTTTCAGTCCACAACGACGCCTCACTATTATCTTCCTGAAAAAAGCCTCCTTAGCAAACAGATACAGGCAAAAACTAACGATAGACAAATCCGACGTTTCGGCGACATCTTGGCGCCATTGTCAAGGGAAACTAANCAGATGGCCACGGGTGTAACCGACATAACCAGCATCGCACTGGTCACACTTGAAGTTATACACAACGCATAGTTACTCTTGAAATCGCATATTTAATTAGTTTCCCTTAACAATGGCGCCAAGATGTCGCTGAAACATCGGATTTGTCTATCGTTAGTTTTTGCCTGTATATGTTTATCTAAATCATTGTTGATTAGCAAACAGATGTTTCTCAATTTGCCTAAAACAAAGAATTTACAACACCACTAACAAAATAGTTTGGGCTACCAAATTTCAAATACATGTTTATCCATTCTCTCTAAAACAGTCTCCAAATTTTAAATATATATTATACACATTGTACATTAAATGAAAACCCGGAGACTCTCAACTTCCTGTGTACAATACCACTATTGAATCATTTATCATCATGACCTTGTTACGGCAATGATAAATAATTACAATGGGTGTGTCAATTCTTCTTTGACTCTTCAAATTTCAAAACTGCAATGTGCCTTTAACACCTCTTCAAAAAAAAATCATTTCATTTGTATTTCAACAGTTCAAATCAGTCATTCTAAATTCTAAATGTGATGCACTGATTAACTTTTTTCAAGCGGTCTACGAAAGCTAAGCTGAATAACAACTCACTGTTCTCCCTATAGAGCCATTGACTTATATTATTTATCATTACGGCAACAAAAACACTGTAATAATAAATAACTGTTCAACGGATCACACAGTGACACTACCTCTCTGAGATATCTTCCTGAGACAGTCGCTGCGTCAAAGGAATATTTCTTAAACTAGGATGACGCTCATCGTACTGTTGAGGCTCTATCACATGTGATGGGTGCACAACAGGTGTCGGTGTCTGCTCCTCAGGAAAAGTGACCACACCCATTGATGGCTGTGCGTGTACAACTGAGGCTTGTGGGTAAGATGGTGCTATAAAGGGAAGATCAAAAACAAACATGAATAACATTCAGTACCGAAGGAAATAATGTATTATAAGATGATTAGAATTAAAGCTTTGACACCCTTTTGCCCAAAATTTTACCAGTTGACACCGGATGACAAAGGAGAATTGAACTTTTCTCCATACTCTGAAAGCCCCCATTGGCAATCTGCACTGGAAATTCATTTAAGCTTGAATAACCTCAGAGTGGAATATTATTCCCTACCCTAAATTTCTCAGCCACCCAGCCTGAAATTAGGAAGCATTGAATTCCTTCACTACAATCCTTACTACAATTCCATGTGTGCACAGTTTTTACCCAATACAGTTCGTAAGCTTGAATCATGACAAAGTAGGGACCATCATTCACTTTCCCCTTTATTCTCCCTCCATTTGGGATTTCTTGATCCCCTTTAAATGGGTCAAACTTCAAGGTGTTTTCTCATGCAAGTGATATGTAACCCCTTACTTGCTGATGTAGACACTGGACTAGACACAATAGGCTGTGATGATGGTACAGACTCCTCCGGGAATCTAATGACCGGTCTGGCATGTGAGATGGTGTCATCATCTGGTAAAGCAGTTATTAGTGGCCCACTCGTAGCTGAAAACAACGAAAATGCACATTGTCAAGGAAATTTAATACTGGAATTGGTTCATTTCCTTACTGAGCTAAACTTTGCTAGTCTGAACTCTATTGTGTACATTGTGTTGTGATTTAAAAGGAAACTGATCCTTTGCTTTGCCATTTTTATCAACATAATAATGTTTATTTAAGTTCATTGAAACTTCGCCAAAGCTCACAAGGAGCAGTTAAAATCTTATGGGAAAAAGTTCTGTGGTACATGTATCTAGTGACAAAACTAAATGTATACATATATGTTATATACAAGAAAAGAACAATATTAAAAATGTTTCCTGCCTGAGAAGTGTTTGCATTTAGTTTTTGTGAATCTTTGACAACTCATGAAATGAAACAAAATAAACCCTTCAAAATTTACTAAAGTAAAATAGTTGATTTTAAATCAATATTTTGTTATAAGTTGGATAAATAGACAGGAATTAACAACAAGGCCTCCACAGGTCTTACAGCATTCATCATTAAAAGGTTTAACTTACAAGGTCCAAGACTTGATGAAGGAGCATTTGATATATCAGAGATTGTGAGAGTCTGAGTGCTTGGCTACAAAGAACAAAATTAAACCATCAGTATACAGTATATGTAAGCAAAGAAATTTCTTCTTGGTATTGGCATCGTTTATCTTGAACCATTCCAGAATCTGTTCATCAAACAGGAAAATACAAAGGTGCACTACGCTTGTTTTATTTATACAGATAGACGTGGCTAATTCAAACTTGGTTACATTGAATTTCCCTTGGTTTGCCCTTCAGTCATTTACTACCAGCTATTAATGAACCCCTGTTATTTTGGACTATTTTTCATTTCCCTTGAGAGTTTGAAAAAGTGGGGCTCAACAGCGTATAATTATACAAAACAAGTGACTATGCAATTATCAGGTATTTCTGATAGGAAGGAAGTAACAACGATAACCATTGAGAAACTGAACAACAACAGTCTGATCAATGAACCATGACTGAGAAAAGATTTAACAAAATAACAATCAAAGGTCAAACAGAAATTTGATTAAACATGCTATACCCTCAACATCTTCATGCAAGGCTCCATTTATGTACAGCTTAATGAGGAAACTCACTCTCTGTGCAGTGTAGCTTGGTGGAGGCTGCCCACTGCTGGGTCCAGACCCATCTCTGTATTCATATCGTCCTCTCTTGGAAGAAGAGGAAGAAGAAGATTGCTCCTCCGTACTGTCCTGGAGCATCAACCTAAAAAACAAGTAAAGAGTTTTAATAAAATCCCATCACTCTTAGTTCAAGGAAAATAAAAACATAAATTATACAGTTAAATTCTCCTATCTGATACTTCATGAAATAATGGAGACTACAGTAAGGAGAATTTTCATTTTGACACCAGGGTTTACATGTACACTCACCTTTTCCTATTCATGAGCTTATCATTTTGATAAATCAGGCGCATCAGGTACTGGAACAGCTGCAATATAAAATGTAACATTAAATGCTAGGTTGCATCATAGAGTTAAGAAAAACCTATAACTACTGACAGTCGTATTGTTACTAAAATTGAGTTTAAGAAAACTCGGGTCCTACATGACAACGTGCTCTGTCAAATTCAGAGCAAATACTTCTTGTCCCGAGATTATGTCAAGAAATCCAAGTGCCTTACATCCAGTCAAGGCAGATTTCTCTCAGGTTTGGTCCAAACTATTCTTGACTTATTCCTCCAGATAATAATATTCACCTTGTTGACAATCTGCTGTTGCCTTTGATGTTTTTGTCTCAACTCTACCAGCTCATTCCACAGGGTCACATTTTCCCTGAAAAAGATCAAACAACACTGTGAGACCTTCACTGAGGCTGATACTTTTAATGCAACAACTAAAAAATGGAGAACTAAACAGTTTTGGGATTATTTATAATATATCATTATGAATGGCTTCATTTGGGTACAGTATAACGCTTGGAGGCTGCCCTGCATCCAGTGAATGGGACAACAGCTGGCAAGCATGTCTTCAGGTTAACTGCACTTTGTACCTCAATAAGACTTCCTTGCAGCTGTTTATCATTCCTGGGGGGATGGGTTTTTCTGTAAATTTAAAATAGGTGTGTGCTAGCAGGGTCGTAAACCCTGACCCTATTTAAGGATGAAGGACATGAAAAATGACACTGTATTCAAGGCCCAAACCTGAAAAATGAGAGCCTATTGAAGGCCCAAACCTGAAAAATGAGAGCCTATTGAAGGGAAACTCGAAAACTACGAACAGCATGAACGGGCTAGCTTTATTTCAATTAAGTAACATGGGAAGTTAACTGAAGGTTCAGTTCTAACAGATCATTTGTTTTTCATTTAGCTGGACATTTAAGCACGGCAATTTTAGTTGATACAATTTAGGTACCCTCTCTATGGATCACACCAGGAACACAATGCCAACAGGGGCAAAAATGATACCCTATTTAAGCATCGAGAACCTAAAAAACCCTACCCNGGCAATTTTAGTTGATACAATTTAGGTACCCTCTCTATGGATCACACCAGGAACACAATGCCAACAGGGGCAAAAATGATACCCTATTTAAGCATCGAGAACCTAAAAAACCCTACCCTATCCTGCAGCACACATCTATATAGCCCATATATGGAAGAATGCCCCCTCCCCCCCACCCTGAGGTTATCATCCCAAATGTCTAAGAAAAATTAGATAGCCAGTGAAGAGTTGGGGAGTCTCCCACCTCTTAATTTGGTCAAGCTTCATGGTCATTTCATCCTGTCTTCCTTTCATGTCTTGCACATCATTCAACACTTTAGACACATCCTCATTTTTCATTTTCTTTTCTTCTGGTGTAGCCTACCAAAAAAAAACAACAAAAAACAAATAAAAACTATAACCATTGTTAGTAAATAAATACATTATGACAATATAAATGCATGTTGTTTCTAAGGTGCGAAGTCCCAGAATGAGGGGTATAGAGTGATTTACAAAAGCCAACTTGAGGATAAAAGCCCTACATTTTCAAGTTGTTCCCTTCCCAAATTGTCTTCTCTCCTTGTCACTGCTACAAATCCTCTCTTTCTACTAGGTTCCTATCATTTGCAGACTTTTTTTTACAAATGAAACCACTGCTACTGAGTTTTCTATGATTTGAGGAAAAGGTATGTTTAAGTTTGTCAAAATGAACTTGCTGTCACCAGAAAAAAATCACAGCATTTGCTGACTTTGAACAATGCACAAACCTTTCTCTTGACATTCTCCAACAATTCAGGATGATACTTGTTGAAATTTCCATTAAAAAATTCCCACTCATCCTTCTCTGATCGCAGACCTCCTTGCTCAGCACCAATGACTTTTCGAAACCCATCTGCAAATGTAAAATTTACAAGTCAGAATAACAAAGCCATTAGTCGCAGCCTAGAGTGATCTTTATACTAGCACAGAACTTGCAGGTATAATTAACCTTTGTATAGGGGGCATCTTGTGTGCAAATCATAATGCACTGAAAAAACATTGTTACTGACAAACTTTTTGCAGCAATTGATTCAATTCAGATATTAATATTATTATTACTTGGGTGATCGGGATAAAAAATACTGGCCAACATCGTCATTACAATTTCAACTTTTGTCTAAAACAAAACTAAGGTACCCATGCAGAGTATTGCATGTCTTCTTGTTACACTTGACCTATCAATAGTCTTGATGGACCCCCTAGTGAGTTTAATTGATTGAGCAAAAAATGGAAATTAACACTTGCGTCAGTTAAGCTTATTTACTTGTTGGGAAAATGCATGTAACATTGCTTTAGCTAACGTCTTATGCAGCAGTGGAAATTATAAGGATTTGTATGGGGAAAACGGTTATATTCTTAAGCCTAAAAAATACAAAGGAATGTGAATAAAAAATACACGTACCTCGCTTCAAGTGTGTATTTCCATGTTTCTCGTGAGGTTTCTAGGCGGCTTTGTCCTCTATATAAAAGATATATACATGTAGAGGACAAAGCAGTGAAGCTAAAAACCACCTAAATGACCGTAAATCGCTCTAGAAACCTCACAGGAAACAAGGAGACACACAGCTGAAGCGAGGTAGGTTTATTTTTATTCATACTCCTTCGTATTTTTCAGTCTTAAGAATATCACTGTTTTCCCGATACAAATCTTTATAATTTCCACTGTTACGTAACCTGAGAACTACTGTATGTACAAGGCACACTCATTTGCAAGCTTAGGCAAGCAGTGGTTGGATGCTTGAAAAATAATCTCAAGATCTGCTTTACAAAGGAAAGAGGAACAAATGTTGAAAGTTTCAGCTGTGGATTTATTGCACATGAATTTATTTCATTTATTTATTTTCTTTTATCATCATCATAAGTATTAACATACGTTTGCATCCACCATACCTAGAAACATTTTGACAAAATAACGGCTCCCCTCCCCCACCCACTAAATCACAGGCAGCATTGCTCTTATTGCATTGCACACGACAAATTTCAACTGAGAACGGATGGTAGATTTGATACGTGTTACACAACTATTTCAAAATACACATTAACCTGTTGCGGCTGGCATTTGCACACTCCATGGTGAAATTCTCTTCAAAAGTACCGAACAAGCAAGTCCACAAAGCAATTCATCGAAGTCTATCAGAGGACATCTAAATCGGCCGGAAAACATACACTTTACCCGCCCACACGTCATTCCCGGAGAAAAACACGCATTGCAAACATTCTTTGACAAAGAAGTAATAGCTCAAATTTTTTACCACAAAATCAAATACTTATTTGATGTGCCCTTCGAAATATTGATGAAATTGATATGAAATCGATTAATGCTGCTGTGCTTATCACGAGCGGACGCCAAACGAGAAAGCTTATATCCGTGTACTACAACACAGGAAGATATCGTAAACCCACAATACCGGCGGGTTACATTCAACAATATACTTACACATATTCAGCTGGCGAACGAAGCTTGCAAAGTTATTGTGCTTGAAATACTTGGGAAGGATTTCGCGTGCAAACGTAGCCTGATCGTGGACCAGGAATCCGGTTCCATTCTACGGGAATAATCAAAATCGCAAGCTCGTAATCATCCCTTTTTAAGGTGTAGATCAAACGGAAGAGCAATAAAATTCTACTCGTAATAAAGAAAAAAGGTAGAGCTATGTAGTTCATAAGTATAAAATCTCTTCCGGAGACCATAAAAATGAAAACAGAATAGTTTTGACACCTTGTTCCATGAAATGTGCTCTTCGTATTGTGGATCTTCAACCAGCTTCCACAATTTCACTAAAAACGCAGGGACGTTGGATGGAATACCGCTCGAATCTCCGTCTCCCGTCTTCATCGGCATTCTTTTCATAGACCCCCAAAGAAAATAGCTTTCTCGCTGGTGTGTGCGCGTGCAGACGAAAGAAGCATAAGTTACCCAAGCGGTTCACAGATCGGCCATATTTTTTCATCCCCCGCGCGCAGGTTTTATATCCCTTGAGACGCAAAGCGCGTCAGAGGTCTGGGCTTGAATCTCAGAGGGCGTCGCTGACCTTCGAAATAGTAAACAAATTTCACTCGACACTGCGGTAGACGTGAATTGTTTATTGATTTTCTAAATTTAGCATATCGGCATTTTTGCGGCTGCAAGTGTTTTTAGATCAAGGCTCTTCGGTCGTCAGGTGGTGACCTAGGCGGGTGCCTCTCTGACGTCATTGGAACAGGTTGCCATGAGGACATAGGGACAAAATAATCAAACGTGCCTATTCGAGAACGTTCTACACGGAGCGAGGCCCACGTCTCACCGCTGACTGTTCTAGAAATCGTATCTGAATCTGCATAAATTTTTAAAGAATTCTAGAGATTTGAGGTAGCACTAATTGCTTTAATTCTTCTATTTCTTCGATAAACAAACAAAAAAATCGTAATTTGACTCAAGGATGTAGGTTTGAAGAAAAATATATTTGTGCAAGAAGGCCCAAACCTTTTTTTTTTT